TACCTGTCTGTCTACCTGTGTGCCTGTCTTTCTGTCTACCTGTGTCTGTCTTTCTGTCTACCTGTGTGTCTGTCTTTGTCTACCTGTGTGTCTTTCTGTCTGTGTGTGTTCTTTCTGTCTGCTTGTCTGTCTCAGAGCCACTCATTAAGAGTGTAATTGGTCTTGAAGACCCCATATTAAAAATAATAATAATAATAATAATAATAATAATAATAATAATAATCACTGAGGCGCATTAAATGTGTATAAAACGTTAATATAGACATTTTGCTTAATCCATCTATGATTTTTTTTTCAAAATTATATAATAAACATGTTACATAACATATAAATTAACAAATATGAGATGTTTTTCTGGTCGGCTTGACAGAGTGAACAGAAACCATTCGTGTCTGGCCTGGTAACAACAACAATGTTTGTTTACATAACTCATGAACATTCTACACTCTCATTTATTCATTTAATCTTGTTTACTCACCTCTCACTCTACATTAAGACTACAGATATTTTAAGGTAAGTAATGAGTGGACAGGATTATTATATTATAGCTTAATAATAATATTCTTATTAATATTAGTACATATGTATTATTGTAATAATAATTATTATTAATATTATTATTAATTTAGGGCACTGGAGCACAGATCCACTGTATAGCACTTTGTCTGGATTTTTTAGGTTATCCTAGGTAATTTATACTATGTATGATAACTTTACTTAGGTGTACCTGTGAGTGAGAGAGAGAGAGAGAGAGAGAGAGAGAGAGAGAGAGAGAGAGAGAGAGAGAGAGGAGACGGAGGACAGACAGACAGAGAGACAGACAGACAGAGAGACAGACAGACAGACAGACAGAGACAGAGAGAACAGAGACGAGAGAAGCAGAGAGAGAGGACCAGATGAGAGAGACAGACAGAGAGACAGACAGAGAGGACGAGAGACACAGACAGACAGAGAGACAGACAGACAGAGAAACTTTGTTGATTTCCCTACTCATATCTCTGGCTCCCCTGACCAGTAGGAGTGATCTGGCAGAAGGCATAGTCACTTGTCAACCCCCTGGCTACGTTGGATCGTCTGACCACAAGGCTGTTTTTACCACACTTAAGATCCCAACAGAACGAGGTTGAGGAGTCACATGCACAACCTGGCTATGGGAAAGAGGTAATTGGCCAGCCCTTTGCTCTGAGCTCGCCACCACCGACTGGATGCTCTTCTCCAAGGGGATGTTGACAACAGTGAAAGCCTTCACTGGGCACATCCTTAATCTACAACAAGAACACATTCCTCACCGGCAATATGTGACGAAGCCTACAGATCAGCCTTGGTTTGGCTTTGTTGTGGGAGGCTGCTACTGCTAAGTACAAGCATGGCAAAGGTATAGAGACATCCTACCACCTATAACAGGAACTTGCACATGCAAGCCTGTAGGCATATGGGTGATGTTCAAAAGTGGGCCATTGCTAAATAGGAGGTGGACACTAAAGAAAGTTAGCATCAGGTAGGGTAGGCTCCAAAACCTGGTGGGTCCTGGTCAAGGACAGACAAGGTTATCTGCCTGATGAACTCATTCCACCTCTAAATCGACAGGATGGGACCACCTCTACTAGTAGTCAAGAGAAGGCGGACCTCTTTGCTGAACACTTTGCTACCAAAATGCAAGTTCCTGATCCAGCAAGGGACCCTCCCTTGGCTAGCTGCAAGAACTGTGTCAAAACTGTCAGTGGTGACAATAAGGCAGGAGGAGGTGCATTTCCTACTTAAATCGCTTGACCAAGAAAAGGCTGTGGGCCTAGACAAGTTGAGCCCAAGATTGTTGAGAAGATGTGCAGACCAGCTAGCAGCACCTCAACTCGCATCTTTCAGCACTGCCTAGTACAGTGTTAAAGTGGCCCTCTCTATGGAAAGAGGCATATGTAGTCCCTGTTCACAAAAAGAAGAGCCAGAGCAGAAATCAGCAACTACAGACCAGTGTCACTCCTGTCAATCACTGGTAAGATCCTTGAGACAATAATCTCAAGACAAATGACAGAGTTTTTTGACTACCACTCACTACTTTGTGATCGTCAATATGGCTTCAGGAAAGGTTACTCTGCTGCTGATCTGTTGTTAAACCTCTCCACTAAGTGGCACCAGTCACTGGATGAATCCAAAGTCAGCTGTGTGGTATGCACTGGACATTGCTGGCGCTTTCGACCAGGTGTGGCACCAGGGCCTCTTAGCAAAACTTCAAGCACTGGGAATTGCAGGCTCTACGCTACGTCTCCTCAGTGACTACCTTCATGGTAGATCTCTAAGTGTAGTTCTCAATGGAACAGAATCAGCAAGACATCCTATTGGGGCAAGTGTTCCACAAGGTAGCGTGCTGGGTCCATTGTTATGGAATGTCTACTTCAACGACCTTCTTCATCTCATCCCAGAATCACATGCATATGCAGATGACTGTACACTGACATTCACTTATCCAAGAGAAGAAATGCCAGCTGCTCTAAGCTACATCAATCACCAGCTGAGAGCTATATCAGCTTGGGGAAATAGATGGCAAGTAAACATTTGCACCTGAGAAAACGCAAATGATGATCGTCTCTAGGCACCATGATGGTAATGCTGGTGCAGTAGTAAGGATGAATGGGAGGATGTTGGCACCTGGAGAAGAAGTTGATATCCTTGGGGTAAAATTTGACTCCAAACTAACCATGAAGAACCATGTTGTAAATCTTGCAAACAAGGCAGCCAGGAAGCTTACGCATTTCGCGTATCTCCCATCTGCTTGACAGTAGGGGTTGCAAGATCCTGTACGAGGCACAAGTACGCTCGCACCTTGAGTATGCTCCACTTTCTTGGTTTGCCTGCCCCTCCTCTCATCTGCGACTGCTTGACAGAGTAGAGAACAGAGAAAGACGTCTCATCTCTCGCCTGGACCCATCCTGGATAGATCTGTCATTTCAGCAGAGCCTTCAACATAGGAGGAATGTGGGTGGCCTTACTGTTATGTACAGGCCAATATTGTCAAAATACCACACTTGGATCCACTTCGAGGACAGCGTGTGAAACAAGCTTTTATGCACAAGACGGCAGAAAGCAGCAACTTCACTCTGGCTGTACCCTTCTCCAGAACATCACTCCATCTGAGATCATACATACCCAGGATGACTCGAGTATGGAACACATTCGTACAGGATAATGATGTCAACGAGATAAAGTCAGTTGATCAAATGAAAATGCTGGCCCACAGATGGCTCCAACTTCATCCTGTTTCCTACTTGTATGTCTCATAACAATAAAAATGCTTTCAAATGAGCTGATGTAGGTAACAGCTCTTAGCTTGCCAATAAAGTTAGGAATCCTTAACCTGTAAATAGCTGTCAATAAAGCTAGGGATCCTTAACCTTGTCAAACCCTGTGTAAAAAAAAAAAAAAAAAAAAGAGAGAGAAGAGAGAGAGGAGAGAGAAGAGAGAGAGAGAGAGAGAGGAGAGGAGAGAGAGAGAAGACAGACAGAGACAGAGAGAGAGAGAGAGAGAGAGAGAATGAGAGAGAGAGAGAGAGAGAGAGAGAGAGAAGAGAAGAAGAGAGAGAGAGAGAGAGAGAGAGAGAGAGAGAGGAGAGAGACGAGACAGACAGACAGACAGAGAGAGAGAGAGAGAGAAGCAGAGAGAGAGAGAGAGAGAGAGAGAGAGAGACAGACAGAGAGGAGAGAGAGAGAGGACAGGACAGAGAGAGAGAGAAGAGAGAGAGAGAGAGAGAGAGAGAGAAGAGAAGAGAGAGAGAGAGAGAGAGAGAGGAGAGAGAGAGAGGAGAGAGAGAGGACAGACAGAGAGAGAGAAGAGAGAGAGAGAGAGAGAAGAGAGAGAGAAGAGAGAGAGAGGAGAGAGAGAGAGAGAGAGAGAGAGAGAGAGAGAGAGAGAGAGAACAGAGAGAGAGACAGAGAGAGAGAGAGAGAGAAGAGAGAGAGAGAGAGAGAGAGGAGAGAGAGAGAGAGAGAGAGATGACAGAGAGAGACAGAGAGAGAGAGACAGAGAGAGACAGAGAGAGAGAGACAGAGAGAGAGAGGGACAGAAGAGAGAGAGGAAGAAGAGAGAGAGACAGAGAGAGACAGAGAGAGAGAGACAAAGAGAGAGAGACAAAGAGAGAGAGACAAAGAGAGAGAGACAAAGAGAGAGAGACAAAGAGGAGAGAGACAAAGAGAGAGAGACAAAGAGAGAGAGACAAAGAGAGAGAGACAAAGAGAGAGAGACAAAGAGAGAGAGACAAAGAGAGAGAGACAAAGAGAGAGAGACAAGGAGAGAGACAAAGAGAGAACAAAGAGGACAAAGGCAGAGAGAGACAGAGAGAGACAAAGAGACAGGACAGGGAGAGACAGAGAGACAGAGAGACACAGAGAGAGACAGAGAGAGAGACAGAGAGATACAGAGAGAGAGAGCCACATTTAGTCAGCCAACCACCCACCCAGCCACCCTCCCACTCACCCGGCCACCCACCCGGCCACCCAGCCAGCCAGCTACGTATTACATATGTTCCAGAGTTGTTTCTCTTTACTTAGGGTATAGGTTATACTACATTCTGGCAGGATGACACTACCAGTGGTATTCTCCCATTCCACTGTGTCAACAATACAAATATAACAGTAACGTATGATACTGTATGTGATGTAAAATTTACAGTACAGTTCACTACCATGCATACATTATATACAGTATATAAATAATTAAAATATAACAATAGAAGTAAATTATGGCAAAAATTATGAAATAATGGTTGTACATTACATTACAGTACTATGTAGGTAGCTTATATAGGAAAGGTTTGACATTATGCCCTACCCAGTATGTCGGCAATTTTCAAAGGTTCGATTTACGTCCATTTTGACTTACGACCGGTTGGTCGGAACCAAGCTTGGTCGTAAGTCGGATGGTAGGTGTACTGTGCTGTAGCGTAGTGACATAGCAAATAATAAGCCCACAGGCAGTGTTAGCCTAGGGGTGCAGGTGACAATCACACTTACCAGTCTGGTCTCTGGGTAATAAGCTACTGTCTGCCATAACCCAGCCCATAAATCCTCTTCTTTCAGCAAAGAATACATCTCAGACAAGGAATCAAGGATCTCCTGCAAATATTGAAAAAAAAAAAATATTAAAAAAATAAATAAATATAAAATAAAAAAAATCTTGTACTGTACTGTTTCCGTCATGCTTTTACGTCAGAGCAACAACAAAAAAAAATAGCCTAAACATCAAAAAACTAATACAGTAAACCATTACATGACACAATCTGTTAACATGTTTTCTGTTAACATGTTCTTCAAAATTGTGGTATATTTTTGGTGTACACGCCGTAAAAATTGGTTTATACAGTACACGCAGGGGAAAATATGGCATGCACTGCAGTCTTTCCCCTTCTCCTCTGGGCAAGTCCACTGTCTTATGGGATAGTGGGTGGGAGAGTGCAAGCTAGTGGGTATGAATGTGCAAAATAGTGGGTAAGAGCGGGTATTACAAAAACACTAATTGGGTTTTTCACATTAGCGTTAGTAATATAAAAGTTCGGGATACATATACTATACACATTAAAATAAATTAATCTTTAATATTATATAAAAATCAATCTTTGGTCTAGGAGGTATTTAAAATATACATACATGTTACAATAATAAATTATTAGCATCTTAAAATAATAATATATATATCTATGCTAAAAGAATAAATTATAAATAACATTTGTATAATAATAAATTATGATCAACTCCGTGTCTCACACGACACTTATAATGACGCTCTGTGTCCCACACGAAACTTATTCGAGTTGTGACGTTTCTTCCCCACCGTGTCACTCGACACCCTTTTCGCCGTGTGATGACGCTCCTTCACAACCGTGTCCCTTGGCACCCTTTTCTCTGTGTCACCAGACACTCCAGCTCTCCGTGTCACACGACACCCTTTTCTCTGCGTCATCCACACCCTTTCTCGACTGTGTCACACTTGACACCCTTGTCTCTGCGACACACTCACTATCGACGTAGCGTCTTTCGAGAGGCCAGTCACATGATACTATTCAATGTACACTACAACCAGGCCATCTTCAGTGTCACACGACACCCTTTTCTTCTCAGTATTCCACTACGGTCCTGTAGCATATCTCAGTGTTCCACTCCATCATACTTCCCTAAGTGTCACACTACGGTCCTAGCCCAGTTCAGTGTAACACTCCAACCTTTTCTTCATGTAATGTCCCACTAAAACAGCATCAGATGACTCCGGCCCACAGTTGACCAGCGTAGGCGGTGAGTCCGCAGACATCACTGGTAGTCCTGTAAATACTCTCTAAGGCCGGTAGAAGTACACCGTAAGATGGCCTGGTGAGTACTATCTACCGTCTTCAAGACCAATTGACACACTGCAAGGTGGTCCGATGAATTACTAGCAGAACACCATGCTGCAAGTTCACTGAGTGTGGCCGTCAAGTAACTGAGGCCATCAGACTCAGTGAGCTGCGGTGAGCGGCTCTTCTAAAATCAGTAGAAGCCAGTAGAATACCAAAAGATGGGCAGGAGAATACTCTCTACTGCCAGTAGATCTATACTGTAAGGTGTTCTGGTAATTACTGCTGCGGTGCGTACCGTGAGGTGTTCAGGTACTTACTGCTCTAAGGCCGTCTCAGCAGTCCCCACAATGGGTTTGATGACGTACCCAGTGGTACTGCCGGCTGGCAGGTTAACTATTTAACTGCTAGTTTGGCAGGGGGCCGTAACAGCGGGCGAGCTAGTGGGTGGGAACAGGCGAGCTAGTGGGTTGGAGTGGGTGAGCTAGTGAGTGGGAGCGGGCGAGCTAGTGAGGACAAGGTACTGGGTGAAGAAGGATGAGTGAAGGTCTGAGGGAAAAGGGGAGAGAGTGGCCCCCTTCCCTAACTGTACAACCCACGTGGCTATTGAGCAAATGGTCTGATGGGCACTGGTGTGGGGATGGGTAGAGGCCAGTGGGTGAGGATATGTGGACAAGGATATGTGGATGAGGATATGCAGGTGAGGCCAAGAGGGAGGTGGGTGCAAGCATGAGTGGGGATGAAGTCTGAGAAAGCATGATGAGGAAGAGAATTATGGGTTCAGGGCAACTGTGGGAGATGGGTGAAGGTGGGGGCCTGATGTTGGGTGAAGGTGTCCATCCACAGCCATCCTGCCCTCTAACACATGGGAAGGAGGTTGAGGGCATGTGTATGGGATGGACAAACAGGCTGATCACAGGAGACTGGTGTTTAAAGTGAACATGTGACCAGTGTCCAGGGATGACACTATGGCAACTATGTCCAATTTTGAGATTAAATATGGACAAGACACCTCTGTTGTCTTGTTGTATGCTGGGATAGATCTGAATGCCATAGATATGAGTATGAAGCTGATGAAAAGCAATATAATGGGACAAACTCACACCCCTTGGCCTTGCGTTACTCATTAAGCTTATGGGACCCAACGTTGTCACCAGCTTGTAATGGCGGTGTATAGCGGTAGATGGCATGGGACAATTCACCTTGTCCATGATTGCCGAGTAGAATAGTGTGGTAGCTGGGAAGTTAAGAGCAATGCAGGATAGCATAAACTCACGTAAACTGGTCTGTGGTTTATTAAGAAGGTGGGTTACTCCAGGCAGATATGAGCAAGGTGAACCAAGGGCCAAGACCAAACAGGAGAGGAGTTGTCCACAGGGCAGCTGTCGATAAAGTGAGGGCATGGGCTGGGAACGTAGGCTCATGTCAATACCCCCCTACCCCCAGCGAGGGCTATGTGAAACAGGCCTAGGTAGGCTTTATGAAATTATGGGGTAGAACACTGTTACAACATAATACTAAAGCTGTTAACTGGATATCACAGTTGGCCAGATGCCCTCCCCAAAAGAGGCACATCTACTTATCTGTCAAGGAGGGGTTAAAATAAAAAAAAATAGTCAAAAGCTTGATCTTTCTGTTTGTAATTCAATATTTTTGCTTCTTAAAGTAAATTTGCATGCTTGTTTCTCAATTCTCCCTTTCACTTAGCAATACCAAGCACTGTTGTTCACAATAGCCTGTGGTCATTTCATGAGTCACAGTGTAGGAGAAGTACCGCTTAATTATTTTTTTTCAGTAAAGGTGAAAACAAATCCAAAATTTGATAAAGCATTACCAAACCTTGGCAACCTTTTTTTTAATCAGATTTCTAGTGTTTAAGGAATACATATTACTAATCATAAAAATACTCAGCTATTCAATTAGCATAAATTTTGAGGATAAACTTACTTGTTGTGGATTTATTACAGGTTCCATGTCATACGAGTCATTATAATCCTTTTTGGTAGCACGAGGTGTAGCAATGGCTCCCTGTTCTAGGGCTAACTGCTCTAACAGAAGTGTCATACGATGCCAAAGATTATGGCTCTTGCCAAGGTATTTCATAATGGCTGGTCGAATATTTACTGGGGGTTGGCATTGAGCAAGAGCTTCTGTGAAGGTGTGTAAAGCAGATGGGTGGCAGTCCTTCTGAATAACATGAGAGCCTGAGCACAAGAATGGAATCACCTCACTTGCTATACCCTGCAATTTTCATATAAAGTTAAAATATCTAAATATGTAATCACTGAAGTGGAATTACGAAAATTACATATGAAAAAAATTTCTAAATAAGTATTTTTCTTAGTTACACTGCAGATTCTTCATTAGGTTATAAAGTTTTGCAACTACAGCACTCTCTTATCTTGTAACCAACCAGATACAGCACCAAAAAGTAGACATTCAACAAAATTGATTGAAAAATTAAGAAATATACAAAATTAATAAGTTACAGTACTAAATCTGCCTTTACAGTGGTACCATGACTTATACGTTTAATTTCGTTCCATGACTGAGCTCATAATTCAATTTGCTCGTTTTTTTTTTTTTCAACAAGTCGGCCGTCTCCCACCGAGGCAGGGTGACCCAAAAAGAAAGAAAATCCCCAAAAAGAAAATACTTTCATCATCATTCAACACTTTCACCTCACCCACATAATCACTGTCTTTGCAGAGGCACCCAGATACAACAGTTTACAAGCATATGTAAAGATATATAACATACCCCTCCAAACTGCCAATATCCCAAACCCCTCCTTTAAGGTGCAGGCATTGTACTTCCCATTTCCAGGACTCAAGTCCAGCTATATAAAAATAACCGGTTTCCCTGAATCCCTTCACTAAATATTACCCTGCTAACACTCCAACAGCTCATCAGGTCCCAAAAACCATTCATCTCCATTCACTCATATCTAACACTCACACATGCTTGCTGGAAGTCCAAGCCCCTCACCCACAAAACCTCCTTTACCCCCTCCCTCCAACCTTTCTGAGGATGACCCCTACCCCACCTTCCTTCCCTACAGGTTTATATGCTCTCCAAGCCATTCTACTTTAATCCATTCTCTCTAAATGACCAAACCACCTCAACCACCCCTCTTCAGCCCTCTGATTAATACTTTTAGTAACTCCACACCTCCTCCTAATTTCCACACTCTGAATTCTCTGCATAATATTTACACCACACACTGCCCTTAGACAGGACATCTCCACTATCTCCAGCCACCTCCTCACTGCAGCATTTGCAACCCAAGCTTTCACACTCACTTAAGTTTTGGTACCACTATACTTTTGTACATTCTCTTCTTCACCTCCATGGATAACGTTTTTTGTCTCCACAGATACCTCAACACACTACTCACCTTTTTTTCTTCATCAATTCTATGGTTATCCTCATCCTTCATAAATCCATCCACTGACAAGTCAACTCCCAAATATCTGAAAACATTCACTTCTTCCATACTCCCTCTCCCCAATGTGATACCCAATTTTTCTTTATCTAAATCATTTGATACCCTCATCACCTTACTCTTATCTATGTTCACTTTCAACTTTCTACCTTTACACACCCAAACTCGTCCACCAACCTTCGCAACTTTTCTTTAGAATCTACCATAAGCACAGTATCTTCAGCAAAAAGTAACTGTGTCAACTCCCATTTTGTATCTGATTCCCCATAATTTAATCTCATGTGGGAGGCAGTTTGCCTACATCCATTCATCCTCTCTCCCTCTAGGGCATACGAAAACCGAGGTCCTATTGTAAATTTAATGATAAAATTCCCTGCTAGTGTCCCAGAGTACTCTATCATGAAAGAAGTAATCTGAATAATCTCAAAAATTGTCACAAGGGGTAAAGGTGTGCTATGATGTATAATCTACAAATATTTAGGCTACCTGGTGGCAAACACTGAATTAAATAAAATCATTAAGTAAATTTACAAACCTGTTGTTGTTTCTCACTGAGAATTTTCCAAAGTCTTGGGAAGAAGTGCAGCCACACCCACTCAGCTAAGTTAGTGTCCATGTGGCACAGTTCTGACACTGCTGACAGGAATTGAGAGTTGCATACCTCTTTTACTCCTTCCATGAACTTTGCCTAAAATAAAATAATTATGAAAGAAATGATATTGGGCAAATATAAAAGTGGGGTAACCTTCAAAATTATACAAGTTCTTCATCAATTTCTAATATATTAAGTTTACATTTACATTTTATTGTCCATTACCGGCTAATTGTGTTTGCAAATCTACAAATTAAATACTATATTTAACTGAAACAGGCAATGAACCATCATAATTCAAGACTAGGGAGAGCAATGACTCTGGACCACTCAGAATACAATGAATACTCTATGACCTACAACCATCTCTCCATTTTTCCAAACTTCCACTCAGATTTACCAGTTCTATTAGAAATGTTGCACAACACTTGCCCACATTGAGCCAGTAAAGCACCTAAACTACTGGGAACATCTTCAAGTCTTGAACATGTGCTCACTGGAGCAGAGGAGAGATACATGATAACATGTACCTGGAAAGTACTCAAGGGCCTGGTCCCAAATCTGCACACTGCATAACAACATACTGGAGTGAGAGATATGGGAGGAAGTGTAAAATAAACCCAGTGAGGAGCAAGGGTGTGGTGGGGACAATAAGGGAACACTGTATCAACATCCGGGGTCTCAGACTATTCAACATCTTACCAGAAGATATCAGAAACACAGCTGGAGCAAGTGTAGAAGTCTTCAAGAGGAAACTGGACGAGTATCTTCACCAAGTGCCAGATCAACCAGGCTGTGATGGATATGTAGGACAGCAGGCCTCCAGCAGCAACAGCCTGGTTGACCAGGCAAGCACCAGACGAGCCTGGCCCATGGCCAGGCTCAGAGAATAGATAAACTCTCGAAACTCTTCAAAGGTATGTCAAGGGTATATAATCCTACAGCTATTAATCGGATACCATAGTCAGCTGAATGTGATCGCACTGGCTATATAAAAAGGCAGGTATACTTGCCCCCCCCCAAAAAAAAGGGGGGGGGGGAAGTGATTAACCCTTAAACTCTCCAAACATAGATCTATGTTTACGCACGTAGCGCTCCAACCATGATTTTCCCATTTGAAAGCATGTAAATAAAACATAGATCTATGTTCGGAGCGCCACGAATGAACGTAGATCTACGTTTGGACAGTTTAGGGGTTAAAAAAAAAATGAAATTAAAGGATTATTATTACAATGCCTGCACATTAACCTTTTCACTGTCGAGACCCCTGCTCACAAACTCGCTCTCAGTGTTGAATTAAAAAAATCTTTTGAAATGATTATCTTTTCCTGATGGTAATGACACCAAAATTATGAAATTTAATGGAAACTTATGGATTACATTCTCACGAAGTTAGCAAGATCCTATATTATCAACCTATGAACTCTGGTAACATTTCTTACTTAACCATTCCTATAAATTCACCCTGCATTTTATGCATTGACAATTTCACCCACTTTGAGCCCTATTTTCTGCCAATTCAATTTTTCCATTCGATCAAACTCATAGCCATTTCTCTAGAACTCCATCTGTTCTATCGACTGAGTACAAGAAACCACCCATTTACCAATTTCAACTATCCAATAAAGTGATCA